TGGGGGTAGGGGGGAGAAGTGCAGTGAGGCGGGAGGAGAGGGGGAAGAAGATTGAGGGGGGAGAAGATGGGGAGGAAGTAGAGGAGAAGATGGAAAGGGAGGGGGAGGATGAGAAAGGGGGAGGATGAGGAGGGAGGATGAGGAGGAGGCAGAAGAGGGCACCTGGAGAGAGTAGAGAAGAGGGTGGGGCCAGAACAGGTGTGACCTCGAGTGCTGAGGGGGCCAGTTTTATTCTTAGCACAATGGAGAGCCACTGGGGGAGAGGCCCTAAACAGGAGGGCATTTTCTTACTGCGGGACTCAGCAGTTCCTTGTGGGACGTCAAGACAGCACCCTGGCTGCTCTACCAAAAGGAAGTTACCTAAAGAAGTTGTCAACAGTACATGGGCTTTTGCAAAGATGCTCTTTGTGTTATTACAATAAAGGAAAAAGGCAACAGCCCGGTGACAATCAATAGCAATAAATCACCAATGGTATGCCCATGCCTTGGGCACCGTGCAGCCACCAAAACGGTGGTGTGGCTGTGTGGGCAGGACATGGGAAGAGATTCATGACCTGCTTAACAATGCTAATAGCATGGGGTGGTTCCTGTGGCTCAGTGGGTAGGGTGTCAGCCCCATATACCAAGGGTGGTGGGTTCAAACCCAGCCCTGGCCACCTAAAACAGCAATGATGGCTGCAACAAACAAACAAACGAACAAAAAATGCTAATAGCATGACCCCGCTCTTTTTAAAAAGTGTGTTTGTGTGTAAACACAGAAAAGCCTGAAAGGAAATATATCAGAATGTCTATAGTTATTTCTGGGTATGGTGTATTATGTGCTATTAATTTATTAAAATTATTATTTTCCTTATGTCTGGAAGTTTCTTGTTTTTTTTTTCCAAGAATGGGCTTTTAGGCCAGGTGCAGTGGCTCTTGCCTGTAATCCTAGTACTCTGGACGGCTGAGGCAGGCGGATCCCTTGAGCTGAGGAGTTCAAGACCAGCCTGAGCAAGAGTGAGATCCTGTCTCTACAAAAAATAGAAAAATTAGCCAGGCGTAGTGGTGAGCACCTGTAGTCACAGCTACTCAGGAGGCTGAGGCAGGAGGATCGCTTTTGTCCAGGAGTTTGAGGTTACTGTGAACTAGGTTGACACCACAGCACTCTAGCTTGGGCAACAGAGTGAAATTGTCTCAGAAAAGAAAAAAGTGGTCCTACTCTATGAAAAAACTCTGAACCGATATTCATTCAGATGTCTGGTTTTTCCCTGAGAATATTCAGACAAACCCCCATTCCAACATCAAAAGCTCTTCCTGATATTTCTTTCCTTTGCCACTTCGGTGGGTGGAGCAGAGGGATGAGGCCTGGCCTCCTTTCAAAACCCTCAGGAAACCCTCTCCATTGCTAAACCAAAACCACTCTGTTGCCCAAGCTGGGGTGCGGTGGTGTCAGCCCAGCTCTGGCCCGTGCACTGAGAGTTCTGTTCAGGAGGGTTTGCTTGTTCATGTGTTTGAATGAAGAATCCCCTAAATATAAAGTGAGTTTTCCATGAACTACCCACAGAATGTCCAGCATCCGTGTCTGACCCCTCTAGGGTCCCAGCAGCACTCGCCGAAGAGCCACCCTCAGCTCCAGGCCTGCTCTTTCCCCAGAGAGGGCCACTGAAGACCCATCTTAACACTTGGAGGACAGGGCCTGGCCCCACCCAAAGGGGCTCTCTCTGCAGGCTTCTCTGTGACAGCCACACCACCAAGGAGGCCCCTCTAGACAGCAAGACTGGCCCTGCTTGCTGCTCAGCTCCCTGCACCATCTGTCCTTAGCAGCAACCCCCTTAGTGAGTCCCCACACTAGCTAGCAAGACCCATGAGGGCAGAGACCAGGCTGGTGTGTTCCCTGCCGTGTCCTGTGTGCCTAGGGCATCGTGAGTGCTCCCTGAGCGTAGGATGCCTGTGTTGGAGGATGCAAGGATGAAAGAGGAGTTCACATTGGCTGTTTCTTATGACCCAGCCCTGTGACCCTGTGTGAAAAGAACCACAGCATCTGGAGGTCTGAAACAGATCTGAGGGGTCAAGTCAAAGCACCAAGGACCACTGCACGTTACTACATGCTTACTATAAGCCATCAGCAAGGGCTTCAGACTTGTTCATGTGAGTCTCATAGCAGCCCATTCAACAGAAGAGAATGAGGCTGGGGAGGTTGCCTGCCTGGTGTGGGGTCACCTTCACATCATTCTTACAAAACAGCTGCCATGCTCAGGAGCACATCCGAGTCCCCTGAGGGTGCATCAGACAGACTGTCCAGCCACTCCCATGGTATCTGCTGCAGCCGGTCAGGGAACCGCCCCTGGACACCCACTGCCCTACCCCCACCCATTTCCCTGTTTATAGGTGGGGAAACTGAGGCACAGGAAAGTTGACTAACTTGCTAAAGCATCATCAGAGATTCCAGCCCACAGGACGCAGGAGGAGAGAGCTGGAGAAGGAGGGGAGGCAGAGCCTCGATTCTGGGAACGCTGTGGAAAATCACGAAATCTTTCTACAGTGCAGAAGACGCCAGAGCGTTTTGTGCCTGGAAGATGCTAACAGGGACAGTGGCAGCTTGGGTGGGCCTCATAGGAAGAGAAAAAGATGACAGCTTCCCCCACCCCCTGCCATAGCAGAGGGAAGCTGCCTTGGGGACCTTCTCTGGATCTCCTGCCCTCTCCAGGCACAATGCAGCCCTTGTTCCCAGCCCCGGAGCTGCCCTGATGCTCTCCACTCAGCTCAGTCGGCAGAGAGAACAAAGCCCAGCCCACCGCGCTTCTCAGGAAGGCTGTTTACTCTTGAAGGGGCACAAAGGGTTCAGTAAATTGGTGTCCTGGGATCTCTCTCCAGCCTGGCCAGGAAATTCCTCCTAATCAGCTGCTTCATTCCCTCCCATTAAATCAATGGAATTTCCCTTCATTAAGCTTTGCCCAAACAAAGGCTAAGAACGCTGGAGGGGAAACACAGAGGCCATTTGCTCTGGCACCAGGGCTCAGGGAAGAGACCAGCAAGGTCTGGGCATCAGCAATGATGCAGTGACTTCACACCAGTACCGGCTTGTTACCCAGAAGCACCGGGGAGCCTGGGAGGTGGGAGCAGGTGCCACGCGCCAGGAAGCCAGGAAAGGTGAAGCTGCAAGGGGCTGAGGGTATATCACACTCTTGATTTTTCTATTCTTTTTCTTTTTTTCTATTTTCTTTTTGAGACAAGGTCTTATTCTGTCACCTAAGCTAGCATGCACTGGTGTCACCGTAGCTCACTACAACCTCAAACTCCTGGGCTCAGGCAATCCTCCTGCCTCAGCCTCCCCAGTAGCTGGGACTACAGGCGCCTGCCACCACACCAGGCTAATTTTTGTATTTTTGGTAGAGATGGGGTCTCACTCTGGCTCATGTTGATCTTGAACTCCTGAACTCAAAGGACCCTCCCACCTTGGTCTCCCAAATTATTAGGATTACAGGCACGAATGACTGTGCCTGGCCTTACATTCCTTTTCTAAAGAAGGTCCATGAGATAGAAAACCTTCAGCATTCCCCTCTCATGGGCTGAACTATGTCCTCCTAAATTCCTATGATGAAGTCCTAATCCCCAGTTCCTCCGAATGTGACTGTATTTGGAGACAAGGCCTTTAGGAGGCAGCTAAAGGAAAATGAGCATGGCCCTAACCCAGTAGGACTAGTGTCTGATAACAGATCAGGACACAGATGTACCTGTTCTTTATACAGAAGCACGAAGACACGAGGGGAAGACGGCCATTTGCCCGCCAAGGACAAAGTCTCAAAAGACACCAACCCCACTGACACCCCGACCCCAGACTTCTGGCCTCCAGGACCAAGAGAAAATATATTTCTGTTGTTTAAGCCACCCAATTTGTAGGACTTTGTTATGGCAACCGGAACTTACTAATCATTCCCATTTTATAGATAAAGGAACTGAGTCTTGGGAAGGGCCAGGGCCATGAAGCTCTCAGCACAAAACCTCAGGACTGGGACCTGGGTCTCTGGACTCCAAGGCCCGTGACTTGCTCCCAACGAAAAGAACAACACACTAAGAATAAGTGGTGTGCTCCAAAAGCTGGATCAGCAGCCCGAACCAGGGCTGCTATTTCTGAAAAATATTCTAGAAAGGCATATTTCAGAAGTCTGCACAGGCTTTGACACAGAAATGTCACTTCTGGGGATTTGGGGAAGCAGTCACAGTGTGTGCAGATGTCCTGCACAAAGGACGTCCATCACCATGAGGGTGGAAGAGGACTCACGTCCCCTACTCCGAAGCAGGGACCTCCCCTTGATGCCATCTGAGCAGTCAGTACCAAGGACACTGATGACACATTGTAGCAGATTTTGGAAGCAACCTCTGTGGTCTCTCCAGAGAAAATACAGAATAACCAGCATACCCCCTGTTTACCAAGTGCTAATTACTTCCAGGCACTAGAGAGGCACCATGTCAATGAATCCTCCCAACAACACTGTGAGGTAGGGACTATGATTCCCATTTCACAGATGAGGAAGACTGAGACTCAAAGAGGTCATGTGGCTCACTCAAGGTCACGAAGATCATCAGAATCTGTGCCTAGGTCTGCTGCACTCCAGACCTCCTGCTCTCGTTTGACTCTATGGAACTATGTTATGTAGCTTTATAGAACTACTACGTAGCTATGACTTGATCCCATTTGTCATGTGGAGTACACACACAGGACAAGGAGCCAAGGACACACCAGACAACAGCAATTCTCCCAGGTGAGGGTTACCAACAGTTGCTTTTCTTTGGGCTTAGCTGATGCTTCTACAGATTCTAAATTTTCTACAAAAGCACGCCTTGGTAGTAGAAAACAAGAGAATGTCTTATTTTGGAAAACAAAAGAGAAAAGAAGAGAGAAGAAGCCAGGCTTGGCCTGAGTGTCCTGGAAAGAACAGGTACAAGTTTCCCTGAGTTTTATTTTAAAGGGTAAGGACTTCAGCCCTCTTCCCAGCCCGGCACCCGCACCACCGCCCTACCTTTCAGACTGGACTCCATTCCTTAGAGAGCCCACGTAGGTCTTCTTTTTATCGACAGGCATCACGTCCACGTAGCCCCCGCTCTCGTCCCTGAGGACACCGGCGTGCACGGCCGTCTTACAGATGCTTGAGGTCTGAAAGCACAGGGAGGTCTGTGGTCAGTGTCGGGGACTCCGGTTCCTGCTTCCAGCTGCCTGGGCTCATCATCTCTTGGCTATCTGGTTGGTGGTATGTTGGCCACATCGACCCTTGGGACATAACCGTGGCAACCTCAGTTCCTCAGTGGTCTCTCCAGAGACCAAGCATCATCTGTTTACTCGTTGGCTCAACAACTATTTCCTGAGCACCTACTGTGTGCCTGGCACTGGGGACATTGAACAGGAAGCACACAAGATACTGCCGAGCAGAGGAAGGGAGAGAAGTGACCAGACAGGACGGGAACAAAGCAGATCGTGAGATCCAGTGTCTGGGCAGAGGGGCCACTTTGGAACCGTCCATCAATTACACAGGATGTAGACTCCTAGGAGGGCGGCACCCCTGATGCCAGTGGCCCTGGCTGCTCCATCTACCTCAGAAACTT